AGGCAGAAGCTGCGGTGACATTTCCTTTTAACCAATGCATCATATTTACGTGTGAAATCATTACATATGCAGTGAGGTACTCAAACAACCAACCATTTACAACTCTGTGGAGGCAACCTGCAAACAGCTTGTGAAGCACAGTTACTGCACGGCATTATTCACACAAGGACATTTCAGCACATCCTAAAATACACATCCTCGTCAACGGGTCTGCCGCACGTGTAAATCCAAGTGTGACACTGATGAAGTTATGGTTTACTGCACAAATAGACACTGTGGTTTAATTTTGTTTTTGTACAATGCTACATTATTATTATCAGTACTGATCAAGTTCAGCTCTGCAACAATATGAAACAAAAACAAGTTTCAGATGAATAAATTTAATCTAAAGATACAATAGACAGCTTCTTCACAGCCTGCACTCGATTCCATTGAAGAAGTCCAGTCATATCAATGTCTGTTTGGTGAGACTTTTCTGTCACAATCAGACCTTAAAACAAACCTGCAGGTAATTACATGTTGAGTTATCATATTCCCTGCACGAGGAAGTTAATGGATTTCTTAAAAAAAAAATGCATGAAAATGATCAGAGCAGGTTATAAAAACAAAACTGCAAACTGTTTCTGGAAAGTTTGACCACAATCCTCCAGACAGAAATGTCTGCTGGGATGGAATGTACTTTCTGATATGATCTGTTAAACAATTCAAATTTATATTTTACAGGCTTTCTCATCTGGTGGCAGGTAAACAAGAGGAAATACTTCAAGGCCGGTACAAGAGGAGGAGGTGGCGTCTTTAAAAATACACATAACAGATTCTGTTAAAGAGGAGAGCTCTTATATTGTTTGTAAACAGGATTAATAATCATAAGAAAGAAAATCCTTAAAAAGAACCAGCAACTGTGAGCCATGAAATTGCACAACTTCACAATGCCTCTCCGAAACCCCTCATTTGGAATAATTAACCCCCATTGCTCCAGTCCTTTGTCCTATCCTCCTCCTTCGCTCCGTCTTCCTCTCTCATCTTTTCACGCCCTCCTTCCACTGCGATGGTCCGGCAGCTGAGAGAGGAAATTATAATGTTCTCTCTCCGTCTCTCATTCCCTCTTTCACACTTACTGTAGCTTCTCTGGCTTCCTGGCACCACTGTCGTGCATTTGGCTTTTTCTGCTGACATGATTCACAGTAACCACACACACACACCACATGGACATACATGCACAAATGCAACACTGACTCATATTCTGGTTGTCTGGCTCTCTGACTAACTCGGGGGATTGTCTTGGGCACTCTCCTGGTGGTGAGCTATCGTGTGGGAGCGGACAACCTCGGCTCATATGGGGTCTCAAGTTTCTTCTTGATACCTCCTTAATACAACGAGACAATTCATAAAGCACCCTGCTCAGTTCCATTAGAGCTTGACAAACTCCAATTGCTCATAAAGACCGTACATGGTTACGGTAAGACCTGTAAAAAAGTGGGATTATCCAATTTCACATTTTTATAAATTCATGTTGCACTTGTCTGAGATTACTTCTGAAATCAGAGATTCACTACACCAGTCTTTGGGGTCGCCCTGATGTACATTTTTTGGTTGTTCTTGTTCCCTAAAATTCTCACAATCCAGCTGATCCACAGCCTGTCGACTAGGCCTATTTCAGAAGTTTATCGGGTACAAGGACAGGAGGTATAAACGCTAAGTCCTATGTGACTGAACTGCCTCAGGATACATTTATATGCATAGATTTCTTTGGCAGTAATACCCAAACCTTTATACCTTCTAACCTATGGAAGCACAAGGTAAACAACCTGTATATCTATATTTACACACCACAATCACCCTGACAGTTATCACATACATCTCTACACTTCATTCATTCTGCGGCGCTTTCTCTGATGCATGACTCTTTAACAATAAATGCATCATCAGCCCCTGAATACTTGTCATCCAGATGATGCTTTTTGATGATGCTGAAAATTGTAGAGAGCTTGTTTATCACAAGTTGCCAAAAGGCAGTGCTGTCAAAATAACACATTCACAGTTCTTTGGTAACCGGACAAAACAGGCCTCACAAAACAAAAAAGCTCAGCTGATTATTCTTTACACCATTACACCAGCTATAAGTCTAATTTCAGAGGATGTAGCTGAGTTTTGGGGGAGGGAATCCCTTCTGGTCTCTGGCAGAAACTGAGCTGGATGTGTAGACTCACTCACTCCCTGGGACTGTGTTGGTGTTTGCATTCCTGTCAGAGTGAGGAGGCTGCAGTCTGGCGCCTGCCTCCTTCGTCCTGCAATATAACTTCAAGGACATCACATCACTGGGGAGCCTGGAGGGAGGCAGCGTGATGTATCACTACAGCGGGCATCACACCTATCCCATCTGAGGTCGGTGAGATGCCTCATATTTCACTGGAAAAGCTTAAGTGTCATAATGTTGTTTATTTCCTAAAGAATGGCTTATCGACGTGTTAATATATATGACCGTGTCTTTGTTTTCTTGGCTGACTCGTATGTATTCTCTTGGAAAAGTGAATTTCAACAGGTACATCCTCCAGTATATTTATCATTTAAATAATAGTTTGACATTTTGGAGAATAGGGTATACATCTTTTGCTGATAGTTAGCTCAGTGAGAAGACTGATTACACTTTTAAGGTTGTTTGCTACCTTTCAGCCAGCAGGTTAGCTTAGCTTTACTGTACTTCTTACGAAAAGAGAAGAGAAACACAAAAGCTGAATAACAGAAAATGGAAAGTTCTAGCAGGAAACTAAAAGACAGGTCAACACTTGTGAAATAATAATATTACCTGCTGGCTGTCTTGTCAAAAGTTAGGTAACAAGATTGACACCAATATTTAGTCCAAATATGTCTACAGCCAGGAGACAGTTACCTTAGCATAAAGGGATAGTTTTAATTTTTTGAAGTGGGGTTGTATGATGCACTTATCTATAAACAATATTTTACATAAAGTAGATATCAGTCGGCAGACCTCTAGTTTGAAGAAGCAGGCTGGAATCCAACATGGAAGTCAAGAAATCTACTAATGTGGAGGGGTCAGAAATAAAATGTATTTAAGCCAACTAAAAAAAGCCACACCTGAAAAAAAATCAACATCAGTTTAAGTGTACACTAGGTTAAGAATATTTTCATTGCTTTACCCTATTGTCCGAAGGTGATTTCCATTCGGCAAATGAAGTCGTTACATAGCTCTCTTTAAAGCCAGACTCCATTACGAAAAACTGTGATTTAACGTCGCAGGAGCTGTTGGTCTACCGCTGCATCTAACTGTTGTTTTGCTTGTGTTATTGTGTGACTGGCATTTAAAAGGGTTTGTTCGGATTCACCAAAGTCACACAATAACACAAACAACAAATTAATTGAATAAGTGGTAGACCAGCAGCTCCTGTGTTCAATGAGCTAAAATTACTGTTTTTGTTAATGAAGTTTGGTGGCTTTGAGGAGTGCATGGATGGGGAGCTGAAGCCACTTCCCCCTCAGAACAAAATGTCGGACCAAAAGGCAAAGCAATGACAATATTCTTAATATAGTGTCAAATCTAGCTGATATTGATTATTTAGGTGGGACTTTTTATGGAGACTAAAATATTTTTTGTTGCTGACCCCCACAGCAGTTCATTGTTTAGCTTCCGGACTGCAGCCTGCTTTTCCAAACTGGTGGCGTGTACAGTCTATGGTCGACTGACATCTACTGTATGTGTTATGAGTAAGTACCCCATACAACCCCACATCAAAAAATCCAAACCACCTCTTTAAGTTACTTAGCATAAAGACTGGAAACAGAGGGAAACAGCTAGCCTGGCTCTGTACAAAGGTAACAACATCTGGCTACAAGCTTTTCTAAAGCTAGCTAGTTAAAGTGTTATCTTGTTTGTTTTATTTGTACAAAAATAAAATGTACAAATGTGACGTTGTAGTTTTATGGGAGGTTGTGTGTGCAGGCTAGCTGTTTCCCCATGCTTCCAGTCTTTTTGCTAAGCTAAGCTAACCATTTGCTGGCTGTAGAGGCGTGTCTTTATGATAAATATGATGCTAGCTGTCATTAGCAGACTGTTAGCTTAGCATAGCACAAAGTCTGTCAGCTAGCCTGGCTCGGTACAGAGGCAACAAAATCCACCAACCACCACTATCAGAGGTAATTCATTAACTTGCTATATAATTTGTTGGATTCTTACAAAAACCGATGAGTAAAAACGACATTTTGCAGTTTTTCAGATGTTATACATATGAGCTCGGGCGGTAACCATAACTTCCTGGAGTCTCAGCTCGTTGCCTGGCAACCGTCCCTTTGAGAAAATAGTCCAGTAGGCCTAGGTAATAATCCTCCATTAAATTATATTTTTTTGTTATAGTATGGGTGAAACGTTCATATTAGTGAACTTTACAGGTGCTGGAAAACAGGTTTAGTTAAATTTGGACAGTGCCAGGACTAGCTACCTGTTTCCCCAGGTTTTTATGCTTAATTAATCTAGCTAGCTGGGTGCTCGTTGTAGCTTAGCATTTATTAAAGCTAGCTAATAAGCTAACAAACAAACTCTCAAAAAGTGAGTAAGAATATTTTCTTACATGTTTAATTATCCCTTTAACAATTTAGTGTGTTATCATTTCGGCCAAAACAAAGCTTCTCTCTTATTTTTAAATGCAATTCTTTAGTCTTAAAACCATTAAATGAGGAACCTTTGCTATCCAAAGCACTTATTTCTTTCGGGAAAATCCCCTCAGTCAGTATCAATTAGCCTAAACAAGGAGGATAACCAGCCTTCAGAAAATTCTATAAAAGAAGTGGATATGAAGCACGTGAATTAATGTGAGGACCCTGTTAAACACCTTTTTCTCTTAACATTGATTCAATGTGACCATATGTGTGTTTTTCTCTGAGCGTGTCTTCCATCTAAAATTTGGCAGGACAGAGTCGTATTTCTCCTCCTTCCCCATCCCATCCCTTCCTTCCCTTGGTTGCCTACAGCTCTCCGCCCATCGGAGTATTGGCAGTGTGTGGCGCATGGCGCGCAGCGTGGACTTGGAGATGTCTTGGAAGCATTACGCACGACGACACGATAAATGCGAAAGCCTCCTTTAGATGGACAGGACACTGTCAAGCTGAACTGGATTGACTCTCAACTTCTGGTTTGCTTAGCACTTCCTTCGCAGCCTCCTTAAGACGCTTTTCTCATCCTTTCCTGACGGCGGATGAAACTCGGATCTCCCCCTTTACAGCGCCAGCAGCAGCAGCGGGTCTGGATGACTTCCCCTCCTCTTATCCTCGGTTCAGGGTGACTGTTGAGGAATGGAAACGATGTAAACAGCTTGGGGAGAAAACAAACTGCAGAGCAACAGTTTTTTTCAAGAGATCCCAAAAAGAGAGGATGATCCCTCCGGTCAACATGATTCAGGACGAAAGTGGGGGCAAAGAGGACGAACGGGACCAGAATGAGACACCCAAATCCCCGACGGCGAACGCCAGCCAGCAGGAAACCAAGGTAGGACTGTTGTGTTATTATTTATGATTTACCATCTCCCGGATAGACGGATATACTGTGGGATCCGCACTGTGCATCAATCCAACTCTTATTAATAGAGCAGGGCAAACAAACTTCTATCAACTCAACAATAAAACCGACTCAACGGGGACCAGCTCCCAAAAAAGAACAGCATGCATGTAAACTATGCCACCTTTTTATATCAGGGACTCACAGCCTGATCAGCCTTTTAAAACAGCTTCAACAGCTGAAAATGATTTAATTTAAGGAGGAAAGCATACCGATGATAGGGGAGGACTTCAAAAATATCAATCAGCTGTACAAATAGGACAGAAAACACGTTTAAAGTGCCATGAAGAGTCACTACAGGCTTATTTTTAGACCAGCAGAGTTCATCACTGTGTGGGAATACCATTTGAATAGCACTATGATATTGTACCTTATGAGAAAACAACCTTTAAATAAAGATTAGATCAGTTTAAACTCACGATTGAGCATCACACACACTCCCCATGTGACTTATAGTCATGATAATAGAAATGTAGTGTTAGTGTTTTTTCAAGTAAGAGTCTATATCCCATAACAAATAGGGATTTGAGGTATTTAAATGCATTGTTGCTGGATCAATGATGATGAAAAAGCTGTTAAAAGCTCCCGATCACCACTAAAACAGTTTCACAGTGTGCTGCTGTAGTAAGAGAAGGAGTATGGTGTTAATATTATGTGTATAAAATAATAAATAAGTGCCATATGGGTTTGTACTTTCCACTTGTGGCTGATGTAGGAAAGTAGGCTGTGTGATAGAGATCCACAGCTGCCTCAGGCATTTTGCCATCTATGTGGGTCACATGTTGCCCAGACTACTACAATTAGCAGTAAAATATTGGACTAGTCATCATGCAAGTGGATGGCTACATCAGCTCTCCTCTCCTGTCCCTAAAGCGCTTGTACGGCAAAGATGAGGCTAATGCTTTCTCTTTATTATTTTCCAAATAACTGTTTGAGAAGCAGTTCGAGCTTTCGCTGGGATCAGAGATATGTCTTCCTCTCTGTGTTGTGTCTTTTAAAGCTTGTGCATGCGAGCTCTTACTTTGGCACATCTGGTCACTGAGTATTTCAAAAGAATCCTGGCTGACATTTTACACAATGCCGCTGCCAAACAACCACGCTCCCTTCCAGTATCTCACGTTATTAGTAGTAGGACACTTCAGAAAGACAAAAAAGTGATTAAAGAAATTGTTTAATCGTCCTTACAGACAGTACAAGCAGAACAAGTTCTCTACCATTGAGTGAAGCTGTGTTTGTGTTTTTATTCTTCCTTTAAGAATACTGTGAGGCCTGAACATCACAAGCGCAAGGTGAGCCTCCACTCTTGTGTAAACTGTAGCGTACTGCTGATTTAAGTCCATCATAACATAACTGCATACTTGCATGTACATTAAGGTAAAAGTTGTTGTGGGTTACAACTTTTACTGCTTTTTAAGGTAGAGCACATAGTCACATCAATGCCACGTAAAGTCTCATCCACCATCACCCATATCTCTAGAGGGCACTGTAGCTGAGCTGTATCTGTAAATGTATTTATTGACAATGATTTTATACAAAATCGTATGCGATAACTTGCTTTTTAAGATGTGTTTTGCATTTCCCCATTAACCCTCCCTTCTTCCCGCTCCTCGATGCATGTGCACATTGCCTCACATTGCTGATTTAGATCGATTTTTATTTGTTATGGTTGGGTTTTCTTTCTGAGGCGTATAAAACCACCTTACAGGGAATATGTGAAGTATCCTTTACTATCACAGTCTTTGTAGATAAGTAGAAAACATGCAGAATTTCCATTAAAAAATATTGCTTATCTAATTTAGTTATCTACACCTGACTGTGATATTATTGTTGTTTTATCACCGTTTTCCTTTTCAGGGTGTGAAAGCCATTTAAGTTAAGAACGAGAAGAGATTGCAGTTGAATACGTGTGTTGTATGTTCATGTCTGTGTGTGCATTCCTGTGTGTGGGTGGTAATGGCAGAGAAAGGGTCCAAATTGATTGTTTCCAGAGTGACCCGTAGAATTGATTGATCTTCACCATACCAAAGCTGCAATGATAAGCCCTCTAAACAATTTGTTCAGGCGCCAACACTGTCAACAGCCAGCAATGTATGTATGTTTATTCGCTTAATCGTATTGTAGTTTAAGTCTGGTATTTCATATGAGTATCTGGGCTCAGAATCAGTGGATTTAAACTGTGTCTGTGTGTGCGTAGCTAATAATTTGGAACAAACTTAGAAGAGGACAGATGGATCTTTCTCTACCCAGCAGAAAAACAGTAAATCCCCACAGGTGTTTACCTGTTTACAGTGAATACATTCAGGTCTATACTGAGTGCGAGGATTTAATGAATCATTAAGAGTCCTTCCCCACTCATTAATCACTTAAAACATAATCTATTTCTTCAATCAGAGACCTGCAGCCACGCACCAGCCAGAAACCAGAGCCTTAAATCACATTACAGTAGCTTAGAGATTCTTTATTGTGTGTTTGAGCCCAGAATTAAGTGGGTTTCACAGAGGAGGAAGCACATACTGAGAGGTTAAATGAGGAGTTGTCAGTGTGGAGTGTTATGAATAGCGTTACTGTAAAAGAGGAGCCTAAGGAGATTGATCGAGGCTGCAGCCAGAAATGGCAGCACAGCGTGTGAGAAATAGTGTTGATGCAATGCATTGCTCTAACCAGGAAATCACATTACCATCCAGGTAGGGAACCTCGAAGGTTTTCCACTGAGGAGTGATAAGTTGCCCCTTGCAGTGGTCTTTTATCGGCCATCGGACACTGAGACATTGGGCTGAAGGTTTTAGAGTCTGAGTTTGTAATTTATTTAGGTTATTATAGGAATTGATTTACTTCACTCAGTTGCTCTGAAATCATTCTCTCTCCTCATTTATTCTCTCATACAGTACAATCTTCCTTTCTCTCTCCCTTGCTCCATTTCTCGTCAACTCTTCTGCTCTCTTTTTCAGCTGCAGAGACTCAAGCGCTCCTTGTCCTTCAAGACCAAGAGCATCCGCAGCAAGAGCGCAGACAACTTCTTCCGAACCAGCAGCGACAACAAGACAGAGCTGCTGTCAGACGTGAGCAGCAGCACGGGCCATCTCTGCAACATCGGGATGGCCCCGCCGCACACCACCAACCTCCCCATTCCTCCAGTCCCTCCGGCCATCCCCTGTGCTCCTCCTCCCACATCACGCTCCCAGACACGCAACCCCATGCAGGTAGACTCAGCAGGACACTGCTTCATGGAGCACATCTTTAAGAAGCCCACGTTCTGTGACGTCTGCAACCACATGATCGTAGGTATGGTTACTGTGCCTCCCTTCTTCATTACAGTGATCAGAATATCAAACAAAGCACAGTGATAAGATCATAGCAGAAAGCAAGGTAAAAAATCCTGCACATCATGTAATAACCTTTGCAATCACAGCGTTAAGAATAACCTTCTCATGATGAGACCTTCATTAGAAAACCTGGTGAAGCTATAAGTAAAACAGAGTCAAAGTAGGAGAGTAATGAATATGCAATAATATGCACATATGGTATGGACACAGCAGGATGTAAGAGGTTATAGTCTCCTAAAGCACCTACCTTTGTTTTCCATAACACCACATTTCTACCCTGTAAGACTGAATACACAAGCCACGTGTAATGAAAAACTCAAGACAGTGACGCACCTGACACCGAGCATCCAGCTTGACCAGCTGACATGTGACCAAAGCATCTCTGTCCTCCTTTCCTCGCACACTGAGCCAGCTCCCTCCATCTGTGTGCTGGGGTGTCAGATAGCCAACAACAGCGCCAGCTCCTCTACCTGTTCTCCCCTCACCAGATGTTCCAGTTTGTCTGGCTGCTCCCCTCCTTGTTACCCATCAGTACTGAGGGACCACTGAGTCTTTTTATCTCAGGGCCTCTGCCGCATGATAATGACAAGGGCTGCTCGTACCATCTGCCAAACAAGCCCCTGATATCACATTTGGTCACAGATAAAAGTCCAATGGCAATGTCAGCAGGTTTTAAAACTTAGATGTGTTGGTGCACGTATAATGTATACTGGATTAACACCAGTTCTGTATCAGTATGCCAGCAGTTTTTTTGCATAGCTAAGAATTTTGCTCTGTGTGCAGTTGTCTGAGCTTCACATTTCCCTCTTTTAACCTTACAGAAGCAAAATCAACAGACCCTTAACATCAAAGTTCTTAATTGGGAGACTGAGTCAAAACCAACTTACACACTTGACATTAAAATAATCATGGCTTCAGACAAAGTCAGAAACAATTAGGTTTGAACACTTTCATTTAGATTTAAGTTATTGTGGGTTGTTTAACCAATTAACATACCGATAAATTAAAGTGGCTTTAAACAATATTTAATGTTTAATGTGAAAGGGATCGCTCATAGTGATAATCCTCTCAGCTTTCTAGCAAGTTTCATCTCACTGTTTTGGTTTTACAGCCTGCAACTTTACTGCTTTGGTTTACTCCCACTGCTCTCATCACTGTTGTTTCCAGCCACAGCAGGCAACCACTGTCAGCCCAAATGCTCTGTCTAAACAGCAGACAGACAAAGTGAACGCCAAGCTGGTGAACATAGTGGAGCTAAAGAACCAAATAATTCACCTGGCTCTTTCTCCACAGGAAGTGGTGGACAGCAAAGCAGCACTAAATGAGGTTGAATACTAGACTCACAGTAACGACTCTAGATTAATGATAATGTTCTCTGTATTTGCTGGACGTGTAAATAAGCATCTGCTTCCCAACAAATTTGCAATATAAATTTCAAAGGTGAGGATATGTCAATGTTGTGTTCACAGCTTGTTTCTGCTGCCCCCATGTGGCCAAAAAATCAGTTATTGCTTGTTAAATGTTAGTCGGTTAAACCTGTACACTTACAAGTTTACAGTGCTCTTTAGCAGCCAAACAAAGTCAGTACCACAGGTGTCTGTTTCACACCTTTGAAGATCAGATTCATAGAGGTGTTCATCACATTTGACCTCCCCACCCCTGACTATATGAAAGAGAAGGCGGGGTACACCCTGGACAGGTCGCCAGACTATCACAAAGCTGACACATAAAAACAGACAACCATTCACACTAACATTCACACCTACAGGCATTTAGAGGCACCAGCCTATCCTGCCTGTCTGACTGTGGGAGGAAGCCGGAGAACCCAGAGAAAACCCACACTGACATGGGGAGAACATGCAAACTCCGCACAGAACGCCCTCATCCATAGTGTCTTTGGATGTGGGATTACTTTAATAAAACCAAAGTTCATCCCACCATAAAACATAAGCCCTGTGTGTACATGTTTACAACCCTTGTTGCTTTCACTGGTCTGTTTTATGTGGCGCGGCCAGTGAGGCGCGTCCAGTGGCTGAAGCCTTGAATGGGCCTCTGGTGGTCTGTTGATAATGAAAGTATGATGTCAGGCATGCCGGGCCCTGTGATAGGTGCTGGGCCCTCTGGTCCACTCATGAAAAAAGATGTTGCCCTCTTGTTCATTTGTCCTGCTTTAATGAGAACACAGTATGGTCAGCAGCAGAGAGAGAGAGTGGAGGGTGTTTTTCTCTGTTAGTGTGTGTGTATGTGTGCGTTTGTGTGTGCTTAATGAGCTGCGATGGTGCTGTCAAAGTCTTAGACTGTGTACTAGAGTCAAAGGGCAGCACAGAGAAAGAGAAATACAGTTGTGGTAGAAGGGGCTCAAACTGATAAAACGATCATACTTTGATTGTTGCCACAAGTTTATAGAGTTAAAACAGTGCAGTATTTGTTTGCAAGTGCTTTATATCAATGATACAGGTAGATAAGGTTCTGTGAAGTGGAAAATACTTGTAATTGAATGAATATTAGTGCAGAGCAAACTCACATATATACATTTCTATGTGCACAAAACCACACAGCTGGTTCTCTTAAGTGCAAATAAATGTTTTAAGGACAGAATTTTGGACTTTTGTTTCAGTAAAAAGGTTTTTCAGTCTCCATATATTTATGATGCACCCTACACATCCTAACCGCAAATTAATACCAGTATGCTAACAGTGCAGAAGGCAGAAAAATTAAACACCCACCTTCTTCCTAAAGGAGAATCCTTTATTACATAAAAGCCTGAACAAATTAGATGTGTCATCCATAATAGAAATGGCTGAATTTTATTATAGCGCTTACTGACTCATTCATTAGGTTTACCAGATGAAGGTAGAGCAGAACTAGATTATTATGTATTTAATACGGCAATAAACATATTAGGATTTTTCTGTAGGCGTTCGTTTTTGTTTTAAAAACGTCTAATATACTAGAGACTTGCTCATACACTGAGTTCAGTTGAGCAGTGGTGCAAACAGTCAGTATATTTTAAGCTAATATTAATCCAATTATGACTTACAGAGAAAAAACAATCATACACGGGAATGATAGTACATTTATTTTAACAGTCAACAAGTCAACACTTTATTTGTCACAAGAGACAATATTTTAAATTTGCCCATCAGTCTTTCAGGCTGACAGAAGATAGGTAAAGCAGTTACACACCTATACTGCCTGATTAGATCTTTTCCCAGGACTGTGTGAGCGACGTTAAGACCCTCATTCTCATGTTAGTTTTTTTGCACCTGTTAGGGTGGGACCTGCACACTGTCATGATTGTTATAAGTTCATAGAGTTAAGCATAGCTGCACCATATTTCAGCCTGAGTGGAAGTCTCATCAGCCACAGTAATTGAAAACACTTGTGTGGGTGGGCAGAGTCTTCAAAAGGAAGAAGTTAATAGCATTGCAACTTAAGTAAGAAGTGTATTCAGGGTGCACATTTTCCTATAGTTATTCCAAGGTTACTCTTGCTCCTATCATGTTTCAGCCATGATTTTTCTTATTCATTACACGGGCTGAATGCAATGTGCAGTGTGCAGCTTTTGACCATAAAAGCAAGTGTCCTTGTTGTGGAGCTCACAGTGAATTAGTTTCACTGGTACATAAAAAAAGTCCCTGATTGAGTACAGGCTGATGCTGAGATATTGATTGCAGGTGCTTGCAGCAAATGGCTTATTAAATAAATGTCTAAATGAGTGAATGGGAGGGTTATTTGTGGCTGACAGAGGGTGAAATATAATTTACTGGGCAGACTTGAAAAAATGAAATATTCACAGCTTTCTAGTTTGTGAACTTACTTAACAAATTTCACACAAGTTTGAAGGTTAATGTGTGTGTGGCGAACTTCCAAAAGTACATACAGCGACGAGACGTATGCATATCGGAAATGCAGAAATTTAATGTACAGTCGGACAGTAATCAATGAGATCCTGTATCATCTTGTAGGAGTTAGACAGTAATTTATTGGCAAGATCCCCTCAATGCCTTAAAATCAAGGCATACAAATTTTTGGATTAATTCACAAGACAAGTCGATATCACCGCGAATGACAGAGCAGTCTCACTTGATTAACATGAACTAATCTGTGCTATGAAATCCCAGGGATATACATGACAGGGTTGCTTGACCCCGGGGAGAAATTAATCCAGAGGTCGAGGTTGAGTAGCTGACAGATATGACTGTGGTGCTAACTGAGACTTCACTACTCCTCCATGCATGTACACACATGACGTATTGACGGTAGTGTTTCCTCTCTTTCGCGTCGTGACTTTGCATTTTCACTGATGGTGAATTGAACCATTTTAGTGTCACAATCGACAGCTGACATTGTCTGCCATGTCTTAAAAATCTTTCTCAACATTATAGAATGTCAATCTGCATGTGTGCCAGCAGGGAAAATGTCAGTTCATGAAAAGTTTAAATAAAGATGTGACATCCTGGATGGAGGAGGGACTGTCATGACATTTTTACAGACATACATAATCCCCAAACTTAAGCCTACTTTTATGATCCCCTGACCTTTTTATGTAGTCTTTATTGCTAATTAGCATATTTTAGCATGCTTAAATGCTGCATTCACACCAAATCATGCGTTGGGTAGAAAACGGCAGTGCTCCCATTAATTTAAATGTGGATAGTGCTTCTAGGCAGTGGCACTGTAGTAGATGGCGAAAAAAAGGAGCAGCCTATGGCCAAAAGTTGAAAGAGAAACGACTTCTGGAGAAATTCAACCCAATGTCATGTTGTGGTGGCCAATCACGAAACTGGCAGTAAGACTGGAAGATGCCTGCAGTTCACGGGAAGAAGTAATACAGCCTCTTTCTATCGTTAAATATTAAGTTTTGTTTTATTTTTCTTGTCATAAGGACTCAAAGCCAACATAAACAAGCCTACTGATATAGAAAGAAAGACTAAAGAAACTTACTTTTCTGTAGTTGGTCCCCACCCTCCGCTCCACGACAAATACGCCATTTAGGTGGCGCTTCCACACCCCTGTGAACGCCTGATTTGGTGCAAATGCAGCCTAGATGGTCAACATGGTAAATATTATACCTGCAAAACATCAACTTGTAGATTCTTAGTCTAATTTCTAAAAACAGTTGATGTTACAATTGTACCCTACGCAGTTAATTTCACCCCTGATCACAGAGACATACTTGAAAGGCAGCTACACTCCACCTATAGCAATGCATTCAGCATTCTTGGCCTTTATCTTTGATTCTCCAAATGGGTTTTTTGTTGTAAAAAAAAAAAAATCAAATGGCCATGGGAGAAACTAATTAAAGTCTGCAAATAAACCAAAGAATGCTGATCAGGTCAGTGTTTTAGAGGAGCTTAAGAAACAGAGGAGGTGGAGGAGTTATTGTCACGATTAAGGTTATTTGCACGGGAAATCAGGAGGCGTGAAGTGAGAACGGTGGCTTAATGGATCAATGTGTGGCTATTGTAAGGAGAGTTGTGCAGCGTGAGAGAGATGCCGTGGGGAGAAAGAGTAGGAAATTGAGGGAGAAGGACTGTGGGAACAAAAATTAGAAGCAAGATGAAGAAGGGATGGAAACTCTTGCAGGATTCTTGTCCTTTACTGTTGTGCAAATGAAGAATGGGCTTTAAAAGCAGAGTAGCCAAGAAAGAGCAAATGCCAGAGAGAGCAGCACTGTCACTCACTTTCCCCACAGCTGTAACGCCTTAAGGCCCTGGACTCTTCTCTGAGCCTGGAGGAAAATGCACCTAAGCACACACTAACATCATTATCCAGCCATTACTGAAGGAAGGCGACAGTTTCTTGTATGTTTGTCCTCTTCTTAACTGTTACGAGTTTACATGGAGGCGTCTCATTATTCCTCCATGTTGGAATGACTCAGCTAAAACAAGCCAATCAACAACTCTGTGACAAGGGCTTCATTTGCTTCCTGCCCCTGTGCATTAAGAGAGACAGACAGGAACTTGAGTCAGGGTGTCTTAAAGACGCCGTAGAGAAGAAGGAGAATTAAACTCCTCCATCATCAGTTGACCTGATTAAGAGTGACCTAAAAAGTGATACAGGTTGCTATTATCGTCATTGCTGTTGTGGTGATCTGCGGCTGACCATTGATGGGTTCAGGCCAGGATCACATTTCTCGCGGTTTCCGTCTCAGGTTAACTAACTCCACCAGCTCTGTGGCAGCAAGGCTCAGCCAAGCATCACAAAAGCTTCAAATGGGGAGAACAGATCCAGTTTTCCACCCATTACTGAGATCCTGTCACTGCTGCCCAGCTCCAGATAGCTGTGACACCAGTTCACATTACAGCACGTGAAGAGCAAGCAGAGATTTTTTTCCTCCTTGTTGGCTAAGTAAACGACACATGAGGGGCTTTGTACCTTAAGTACACAGTATCTCTTGTGTTTGCTTTCTTGTTCGGGGGATCAGGTTTTCTGCTTGGTTTCGTATTTACAGTCCAGTGGTACCTGTGCTCACTGACCCTCTTCAACCCGGCTTGTAAAACTGAATATGCTGCATTTTTGAGGATAATCTGGACTGAAAATTCTGACAGAGTGTCCGTTCACGATGCACAAAACACTCTAAGGACTTGACAATTGTGAATAAAGTTGTGATGAAACTTATATCCTTCCTGCGCTCTCAGCACCCACTGAAGATGATCGATTAATTCTTTGCACGTCCATATTTTCACATGCACGCATGCAGTGTGTGGGTCCAGAGCAGAGCATGTGCGCATCGATTAATCAATAAAGAGCTGGAGGTGCATAGCTGCCAGACTATTACTAATAACAGCACTGGGACTTGATAAAACAGTCCTCTCTTGTTAATGTAGAGTGACTATCAAATGATACACGACTGCTGGCTCAAAGTGGTGGTTATTGTCATGCTGTGTGTAACACATAGGGGTTTAGAGATAAGCCTTCTTCTCAGAAACCCCTTACTCCTTTTATCTTCTGTGAGGACGAATCATTTGACAGACTCTCCATGTTTCCAGACAGCTGCAGTGTGTGTGTTTATGGCATCCTGAATGGTTTTAGTATTCCAGTTCCAGTTTCTGGTTGTGGAGTGATTTAACTGTGGTTCTGGGTACAGATGCTTCTGTTGTTTTACAAATTCAATCCACGGCAGACTCAGTGAATTTATTGATGCCATCAGTGATGTTGGAGGTAGTGTCCCAGAACATGCTCCATACACTGATTGGCCCAATCTCTCGCGTCACTGGAGGCATGCAGCGTAGTTATTTGCATAATTGACCTCAACAAGATGGCTGCTCGGCTGCTCCTCTCGAACACAGGCAGCATCCACCTCTCGTAGCAGAGATCCAGACTGTTTTGAGCAGGAATGGGACAGCACCTCACACTCCCACCATCTGTTTTTACACAGAGATATGGCTATAAGGAAGCTACAAAGTCCCTTCTTCACCCACATTTTTACACAGAACCAAACAATGGCAGCATTATGCCACCCTAGTGTGTGACGATAGACAGCATGCCAGCATCGCAGAAGCACAAGAGGTGGGACGGGTGTGACGTGTAACACAGCTGGTCGGCCTCTAGTGTGACACATAACATACCAGTCAGCAGCGCTTTATAAACAATATTGCATAACATGGCAATAATACTCATTTACCGTCCCTGTTATATGGCTGCTGATTTTGTCCTCTGCTTGTAGGGTAAGAAGCTCTTGGACCTCATTGTTTTCCCAATTTGCAAACATTTGCGATTGCTGTTCTTCTTGAAATTAGTTGCTAACTGGTACTAGCCGCTTTTTTGGATTTCCTGGTGGTGGGTCGCGCACATAACTTGTTGTCAAAAAGTTACACCTGTCCCATCCTGCTGGCTATCCCTTTTGCACAGACGTCGATTCGGCGCTGTTACTACCTCCACTGCCAGTTTAAAGGTGAGACAACTCTGTCCTGCCATACTGCGATTGTACCCATTATATCAAAGGGCGAGGTGACATAAAACTCTTGCAAAATTCAATGCAAAAATGAGGCATTAAAAAGTCCTTTATGGTGACTAATAAGCAGCCAATATGCTACTAATATGCATGCCTAATAAGCGATCAGTTAATGGTAAGTCAGCCAGTCAGCTCAGGCAGCCAAACTTTTATGGCTGCTGTTTATTATGTGATTGCTAAATATTTATTCATATTTTTGCCATGTCACTCCATCCAAGCATACACAATCTCAGCAGAGCAGAGACTGGGGAGTAATGATAGCTACCTGCCCAGGGGAACCCCTCAGGTGCATGCTGCCAATTTCAGCATTTTTTCTGCCCTGACGAGGAATGTGGTCCATGATGCTTTAAGGCCTAGACAGTAATATCAGGATCTTTAAAGGTTAGGGAGCCTGAAATTTGAGCTTTTTGTCAGTTATATCTAGGGACTTCACTTTAAATTAGCAAATAGAAATGTACCTAATTAAGTTTGCAAGATGACCAGTGAAAGTTGGATTTCCCATGCAGTATTCCCCACTTACTGCATGCATGCATACCTGCCTATTCATCTTTTGCCCTTTTGTTGTATTTCTTTCCGTCTCACAAATGCACACAATGACAGCCACAGCTCAGTGATCCTCATTAAAGGCTGCATTGATACAATCTGTTGTTGTTGTTGCCATGTGAGCTTTATTCCCTGCCAACACCTCTCTCTTCACAATCTCACATCTCCTCCCTGAACAAGACTATCTTTCTCATTTTTGTTTCTCATCCATCTCTCTGCCCGTATTCATTTGTTGTCCATTTACACACCTCGATGCACGAATGCGCGCACACATGCTAAATGTTTGCTGTTGCAATGTTGCATAACTTGGGTTCAGAAATAAGTCAGATTAATCTTAAATTTATTCCAGCAACTGTGAGTCACATATTAACAAGTGAGAGTGAGTGTGCACACAGGCGGCAGATAGCATTGGCTCAATTACAGTCAGTTTGGTTAAAATGTTTTTGCAGAAGTGCACATCATGTAGTATTTGATAAATTCTGTCCCTGATAAAAGGTTCCACATGCATGCTGGGACCGACTCCAGAAACTCTAGGCTAGGAATAAGTGTGTAAAGACAATGAATAAATGAAAGGCAGCGTTCTGAACAATATTTTCCATTTCCTCTGCCTTTTCATGTGTAATTTGCTGTTCACTTTGGAGCAGCATTTGAGTCCAGTTCCTGAACTGGCAGATCTGAACTTGTTGCCTCTTTTCTGTGTGTTTATCAGGTACAACAGCCAAGCATGTGGTGTTCCTGGCAGGAAACACGGCAAAGCATGGCCTCCGCTGCAAAGCCTGCAAAATGAGCCTCCACCACAAATGTGAGAACGGAGTGGGACAGCAACGTTGCATGGGCAAACTGGTAAGAGGCATGATACAGGATAATACAAGACATGATGTAGACAGTGCATTCGTCTCTTCGCTGTCAGCAGTTTGGGAGATTCTGAGCTTATAATTACTGATGTCATTCTGATAGAAATCAAAACAGACATATTAGAAATTGGCTGTCTGACCGTTTCCCACCAGAATGTGCTTATTCAGAAATCACACTTTATGTGTGAGTGAGCTGGTACATCTGTGACCACCATCCATCCCCGTCATCGTCCTCATCATCGTTATATCATCACTCTGTCTGTCTGTGTGTTAGATAATAGTAATGCAGCCCAGTATTTACAAAAACGCTGACCTCCTCCTCACCTCCGTTAAGTTCTGCCGTGCAGCTGTCAAAGTGAGCCATTAAATCGGGATCAATACAGTCACCCCGAAGCAGCTTCGTAACCACTATCGAAGATGTCACACGTAACACTGTTATGATGTGTTTGGCATTCCACAGTGTCTTTTTTAATATGTAAGTCGAGCCTTGTGAAATCTGGGGGTGTAAAATAATATTTGGAATAATTATCACATCATTTATTATTTAATTTCAGTTTTTATATTACGAACAGAGGCAATGAGATTGTGGAAACTTTTCAGTATCACAAAATGGGAAAGTTGGCAATACTGATCAAAGATAATCATACTAAATAGATAATACTGTGGTCTTAATAAGCTTCTGTTGCTACCTAATGATTTCATTTAACTCTATCTCTGTATTTTAAAACAGCCATAAACACATACTGAACCCTTAAAAGGTGTGAACATTTTAAACCTGAAGGCTTATTAACCCTTTCCAAAAAAAAAAAAGATTTGCAGATTGTAAAAGCTAGAAAGAAAACATTTATGTGATGATATTATTGATCTAAAAGATTTCAGTCCCAATTGATTTGACAGCACCTGTGGTTACTGTTGTTATTAAGTTTAATACTACAAGTCACAGAGCTCTGGGGGCAGCAAAACAAACTACTGTCATTTTAATAAAGAAGTCAGCCAATAATTGTGTGTGATATGCAGCCTGTCACCTGCCATATGCTACAAATTTAAGTGAAGTTACTGTGGTAAGGTTTAGGAAAAGAATCATGTTGAGGACGTACCTTAAAATGACTCAGAGTTCACTCGAAGTTGACACGGTTCTGAACACTGGTCTCCTGGGGAAAGTCCTGTGTTTTGTGTCCCATCCACCACCCCAACCTGCCTCCTAACTAGGCCGCCCAGGATTCCTTCCTTTTTTTACTGCCGTCAGCGCAGCGGTCACATGATCTCAGCCTTCCAAAATATATTATTTTTGCATGAATTATTGGCTCATACTTACGTAGGATATGTACGAATTTTGGTGCATTACTTTACATGGGGCAGCAGTAGCTCAGTCCATAGGGACTTGGGTTGGGAACTGGAGGGTCGCCTGTTTCGGACCAAAATATGGAGCGTGGACTGGTAGCTGGAGAGGTGCCAGTTCTCCTCCTGGGCACTGCCGAGGTGCCCTTGAGCAAGGCACCAAACCCCCCAACCGCTCGGAGGTTGTGTGTAATTGACAACAGAGTGAAAAAAATTGAATTTCCCCCCTTTATATACTTAATAAAGTATATAAAATTAAAAAAAAATTACACTGGAAAACAGCCTGCATCTGCACATTGCAATTTTGCATTTCCTGTGACTACTTCATAATAAAGGTCAACTTGTGTTTCACCAGTTTAACGCTTTTAATGTGAAGCTGCAGCAGTAGGAAATGTTCCCTTAGCATTAGCATTAACTTACAGTGGGCCAATCTAGTACACAACTGTGACTCAGTGCAGAGGAAAACATAAAACACCAAGAATAGTTTATCAAATCCAAATCTTTACTTAGGAGGTCAGGATTCAGACACGGGAAGGCAAAAAAGTCTATTCAAGGAAATCACACATAAAGCAAAGTCCATAAATCCAAACAGAGTCAAAAACTAAGGAATCAAACAGAAGGAAAAGGCTGAAAAGCATGAACATTACTTAGTACACACAGGGGGGTGGAACAAGACACAGGTGAAACACATGAGGTGATTAACAAAGGTGGGAAAACTCAGGAAGTAAAAGAAACACTAAACAGAATGAGAACACATTTCAAAATAAAACAGGAAGTGGACACATGAGTATAAACATGACAGAATATCACATTACAGCATTTTTTTCCCGCAGATGTCACTCTCGCCACCCTGTCCATAGTACTGCAAATATATAAATATTGCAGTACTTTAATCAGTGGGCAATGGGCTCAGTCACCATTGTGGTACCTCACTCAGCAATAAATAGTGACTTAGCAGACATTTATGTAAATAAAAATCTTTGAGATTATTAAAGAAGTGACGTAATTTGCTTTTTTCTATAACTTAATATATTGTCTCAAGTCTAAGAAATGCATCTGTGAATTTCTGATCAGCAAATATATCCAGAAGATGCTTTAATTTAAGCGACTCCTGTGTGTCTCTGAAAATGAGCTCTAAATGGGAGCCATGGTAGAGGCATCAAGTTAAGGTAGAGCTGAATGGTCGATTTCAAATGTGTTTACATGTTGACATGAAAAACTATAGTAAAACTGCCTCACTGAGTAGTATTTATTTGATCATTTTTACAGTCAATAAGTCAGATTTTTAGTGCTATTACCTTGCACTGTGTTAACCTCCAAGCCTTGTTAGTGTCATTATATGTAGTCTCCCTCCCAGCAACACACTCTCTGCTGGCCTGTCCTCAGTTTTGTGTGATGATGATGATAATAGAGATTGTGGGCTATAATCATCTGTGATCCTACGTTATAACTGGACCATTTGGTTTTTGGAGTCGGTCTGTTGGGGAGGGCTGAATGTTTTTACAGGGGAGGGTTCAGTTACACCAGCGAAAGCCAGCACCAAGAAACATTTAGCGCTTCTCCTTCCATAGCAGTCCAGCAAACTGGCAGTCAGCACTGAACTCGGACTCTTTAGTCATTCGCACACATCCCACACTGAAGAGAAGGAGACTGTAACACTGTCAGGTCATATTATGTGTGATTTCCTACCTTTCCTTACCTTGTTCCCCACAGTATTTGGCTACACTTAACTTGAGAAACTTTGGCTGGAATTACATGAGGAAATTTGGAATAAGCCGAGTTGAGAGAGAACAAAGTGCATAGATGTCATATGGAAATTATATGGAAGTTACAGTAAAGGCAGTCTTTCCCCATTCCTGTTGTGATGTCTTTCCACTAGATGTCTGAGGGATGAGGCCTGAAGATATGATCAGCTCTCAGGAGTGGAAAATGAGGTTGAGGGGTCAAGCATAAAAAGGGAAGTTTCCCCAGTGGAATACAGCTCTAAATTCGACTTACTCTAAACTTGGACACTTCTAGCCATGCTTGTTTCTCTTGGCTTGAGAACCCTTTAGCAAAGAAATCAAGTTACCTCATGCTCTGAGCCTTTATAAACCATGAAACCAGTATGCCACTATATATTTGTTAGGTTTCTGTACTTACTAAAACAGTGACAATGAATTCATGACAAATGTAGATTTAAAAAAAATGGTGGTATTTAACAAGCAGGCTTTTGTGGTTCAGCTGTTTGGTTATGTAACATGACTTCACCTTCAGCTTTGGCAACAGTCAGCTAAAAATATTATGTTTGTCAGAGGCTGTAATGGAAAAGTTATGTTTTCAGTACGTGTTGTGAGTTACCTCAAGTCAAACATGCATTGGGCCTCATGCAGCAATATTCTCTTACATTTCTCTCATACTTTCTCCTGTTTTTGTTGAGAGAAAAAATAAGAGAAGTCTATGCACTCCAGATGCACTAAACATTCTTAACCATCCAAATCTGCTCTTACCCAGGTGTGTTGAACGATGAGTCCCACTTGATCATAAATTGGAGGCGCATGACAGATTGTTTGTTATTGGCATAAATACTGCATAAGGGCAGTTGTTGTGCCATGTGCAAATACTCTGGCACATGCCCAAGAGTTTGAGAGATGCCACCAAACAAAAGGCTGTAAGAAGACGAAGAACTTGAGCAGGAGTGAAATTCACATATTGCTGAATAAACTCAAAATAAACGGGATTTTCTGGTAGTCCGTAGGGGCGTCACAGGAAAGAAATGGCAAAGCATTTGTGATGCTGTAAATGCTGTGTCAGGAGAGGGACACACAGTAAGTAGTATGTGAGTAATTTAGAAGCTGAACGCTGGCAAAATCATCCAACAGTTTTTACAGTTTGGTATTAATGGACCAATAGTATTTCTCAGGCCCATGAATTTAATTATCCAATCATTATAATTACTCTCAAAGTGTCAACCTGAGTATCATGGTGTGGGCTGGAAGTTTGATTTCCTTTTGGTTCAATATAATAATCTACATTAATCTACGTTAAAATTTTTATGACGTTTGAGAAGAGCCAAAATAAGAAATCATTGGTTAATCCCAGGTATCAATAGGTGCTAACAAAATGAGAACAAATTGTGGATACAAACAAAACTAAGAGAAACTTTGTTTGTATATCGCTTCCTGCATGAGGCCCAACGTTTTCCTGTTTGAATGGTTGTGTATCTGCCAGCGAACAAAGGCTGACCAGTCACTAAAAAAGCATTGATTTGGCCTCTCCTGACACACACAATTTTTTTTATCAAGAATATTTTTATTGAGTTTTAACAGGATTACACAAAGCATGTTTACAGCAGCTATTAAACTCAAAGCATATGTTTGATGGGAAACAAAGCTTCAAATCAAATCACAATCCTCCCCATACCCTAACCCTTAATAACAACTGGAATATCGTCAGTAGGATGGTCCTCCATCTCCTGAATAGTGAAAAAAAAATTGATAATGAGCTGAAAGTCAGGCTCAATATTGAAAGAGAGGAGGAGGGATGTCTATGTAAATGATGGGGTACTTTAGCAGTAGAGTAGAGAGTAGTAGAGTGTACACTGACAGAAAGCACCAAGAACAAGAAACAACACAATCTTCAGTTTAGCTTGCAACTCTGAAAGTACTTGAG